CCCTCGGATCCCAAACGCCCACGCTATCTCCAGCCCATACCTGAGTAGAGGCTGAGGGTGTGCTGATTCCGGCCGTCTGACCGTCCAACCGTCAACCGGAATCTAGCCTCCACTCATCTACAGATCCAGAGACAACAAAGTAGCTTTTCCTCATAATCTTATAACATCATTCGTAATACATCTATCGCTACCTTTAGTCTCTTCAACAACTTGGACAGAAGACACCTCAACCGTAGACCATTCCAGGACCATTGTTGTCTATCAAGCCTATCAGCAGCCCGGCTCCTGATTTACACCAGGATCTACCCCAGGCCATTAGAAACACCATCATTAGACGTATTCAGAACACTGCCAGGCCCCACTCCTCGTGGACGAACTCCACATATCTATCACAAGGCACTACTCCCGGACCAAGCCCTGCCCTGCCTGGACAATTGTCAAGCCCACACCTGACCCCAATGCTGGATCAAAACCTGGACAATCTCCGGGACTATTCTTTGTCTATTGTCTCTAGCTAGTAACTTAATAAAACATAGTTAGTCTAGCTACTCTTTTCTGATCCGCTGCTTGGGCGTGCCTTGATTGATCCATGCCACTAGCTAGTAAGCCCAGAGGCATTTTCACAAAGTGCTGAAAGTGCTTGCGTTTGCACTTTTTACCATCTGCCCCCTCTTCCTCCACCGCTAGAACTCCCTCCAAAGCTACTTCTAGTCCCACCACCACTGCTCCTCGCTGCCGTTCTCACAGCAGGATTGCTTTGTACAAAGCTAGGGTCTCGCACCAACGTGCCATCATAGGTTGGTTGTGTCCACCGTTGAATCTGATTTGGACGGATGATCTGCGGGTAACGATAACCTAATCTGGCCAGCCGAAAGTTTCTTTCTCTGTGGTGTTGACGCATGATTCTATCCTCTTCTTGTTGCAGCGCGCGGTCATTAACCTCTCGCTGCAGGGGATTGTCGACGGCCATGTTGTTGTTGTTATTCGGCATCCCACCCTGGCGTCTTTGTTGTGCGGCTTCTCCTGCATTACTGGCATGTCCTCCTCCTATATCTTGTTGGCAAATCGGACACTTTGTGATGGTCCCTCGTCCACTGTTGATCCACTCAGCCCAACAAGTTTCGTCCATGCAGTGCCCACAACGTAGCAGCTTGATTGGTTGTCCATCTGACCCCTCTGTCACCAAACCACCTTCTTGCGCTGGTGCCTGGAAGTCCTCTAGGCAAATTGGACAGGAAGTAGCATGGTATCTCCCTTGCATTGCCTCTGCTCTAGCACGGTCAATTTCACTGAGTTGGCTGGCAACTCTGGCGTAGTCCCTTCGCTGTCGGGAGTCTCTCCACATGCCCCATACAGCGGTTCCAAGAATGGAGCCAATCCACAACACTAGGAAGATCATTGTTGTGAAGAGATGCAAAGAATTCTCAAAAAGCGAGGGAGGCCCTTGCTCCACATATTTCCTCATGTCCTCCAGTGCTTGCAAAATAGCGTCATCGTATTGGCTTTGTCGCAATAGGTCTTTCATGTTCTCCATCACCTGATCCAATCGTCGATCAATCAAGACGGTTTCCAATGCTGCGCCCCTCGATATGTAGATTGCCCTATCTTGAATGGATAAAAACAGCAGAATACCTGCTCCACCGCAGGAGTCTGTTTCAATACCTACACCCCAGTCATCGTGAACATAGCGGGCAAAGGTTTCGGCGGCTTTATCTTCTCTGTCACTTCCTTGTGGAGGCCCAAATGGCGCCAAGTCCATCTGAATGAATAAATCGCGTGATTGAGCCCAAGATATTTTATGAAGCAAATGACTGAATGAATCGAATCATCCCAAGAGCATAACATACCTTTTGTACAAGAGCCACGCCCATTTGCAGTTCCAATCCTTGGTGCTTTTCCTGATCTGATTCCGGATGACGGTGGATCTCGTCACTTGTTTCCCTACATAAATCGCCGTAAATATACTTTTTCTCTTCCAGATAAGTCTCCACTTTTTCCAGAGCAGTTGTCGACAGGACGCCATCCGGATCGCATATGCGATAGGATTTCGTGGCGTGGCAAGCTGCAGCGCCACCACGGCCCGGGTTGGGAAAATTCTCTTGGAGCCATGGTTTGATTCGATGGCTGTTTTCTGATGACGATGACAGTCTTCTTGGCCTCAAAATCACTTGCTGAGGTTCATGAGAATTCAATGCTACTTCCTCCATGGGTTCAAGATACGTGTGTGCTTCCATCATTGGTGGCTGCTCCTGATTTGTTCCAACGGCTGATGCAAGCGTCGACGCCCATGATAACCAGACCAGGAGGGTCTTTGTCGATAGTGGACTACATGTACACGACATATTTCTCTTGGATGTCATCTTTGGTCCTTCTTCTTCGGCTCTTTTTGGTTTTGTGGGTGTTTTGAGGAAGGCTTTGCGAGAGAAGAGAGAAGCCAGAAGGCATTTCGTTTCAGGCACGATTCAATGATTCACGGCCGGGACTGCCAGCTGGCAGTACAATTCGAGTCGAGTCGAATTGAAAAATTGAATCGTTCGAATCGACTCATTTCCATTCGATTCGATTCGATTCGATTCATCATTCCCTACCAAACACTAACGTCTGGCCGTCGTACAAAACGGCGTTTGGAATTCAACGCAACACTGGTTTGGTGCACTGCGTCCATGCTCTTGCACTCAAACTGGAGACCACCAAACAATGACAAAGGACGACGACGAAGTCTCGAACCCTGGAAGCCAGGAAGGGGATAACTATCAAAAGAACTATGATGATGACGACGACGATGATGAAGACGATGACGACGGATCGGACGATGTTTCCGAAGTTTCCAATGATGATGAAGAGAGCTTGACCGACGATGAAGACAATGGAGATCACTTGTACACGCTGGATCACTACGACGAAGAGAATCTGCCCGAGTACTCCTGTCGCTACTGCGGCATTCACGATCCAGCCTGTGTTGCCAAGTGTGTGGAGACTAAGAAGTGGTTTTGCAATGCTGTGATTGGGAGTGGTGGAAGTCACTTGGTGCACCATCTCGTTCGCTCACGATCCAATCAGGTGCAGCTTCACCCAGAGAGTCCTCTGGGAGATACTGTTCTAGAATGCTACAATTGTGCTTCCAAAAATGCATTTGTTTTGGGATTTGTCCCAGCCAGTTCCAGCAGTGTGGTGGTGCTACTGTGCCGAGTTTGTGTCGAAACGGTGCCAGCGTTGAAGGACATGGATTGGGAATTGGCTCAGTGGCATCCATTGATTCAAGACAGAAAATTTCTGCCCTGGCTCATTAAGGTAAGAACAGGACAACAGCACGGACGACTGCGTGGAATTGGGACGGGACAGAAGAGTTTATTTTTATGTATATTTTTGGTACCAACAATCTGCTTATGCCCATCAACTTTACCGGCTATCGAAAAATAAATGAATGCAGGTGCCTTCGGATAAATTGCTCTTGAGGGCCCGTGATATTTCCCAAGCTCAAATGACAAAACTAGAAGAACTCTGGAAAAACGAACCGGATGTTAAGTATGCAGATTTGCACCGTCCTGACATTGTTGATGAAGAGGAAATGGCACCTACCCTGCTGCAGTACGAAGATGGATTCCATTATCAAAACATTTTGGCTCCACTGGTAAAAATCGAAGCAGACTATGATCGCCAGATCAAGGAGAGTCTGACAGAGGAAAGTATTTCGGTTAGGTGGGACAAATCCCTTGCTGGTAAGAATGTGGCAACTTTTTCATTCCATCGCATGGCGGTCGAACAGTCGCGTATTATGGTGGGAGACGAGCTTCGTCTCAAGCTAGGTGAAGGGGCCCAATTTCTATATGGAAGGCCCTGGGAAGGAGTTGGATATGTCAAGGATATCATCGATAGCGAGGTGGAACTAGAGCTTCGCACCGGAGGAAACGTGCCGGATTCACTTTCCGACGACTACGTTGTGGAATATATTTGGAAGAGTACCTCTTACGACAGGATGCAAAGTGCAATGAAAACCTTTGCCATCGATGACACTTCTGTGACTGGTTACATTTATCACAAATTGCTCGGACACCCGGTCGAAGAGCAGCGCATTGCCACGGCTCGTATTCCTTCCGGCGAAGAGGCCTTTACGGTTCCAGGCTTGCCTCCACTAAACGACTCCCAGATTGAAGCAGTTGCAGCAGTTCTCCAGCGTCCCTTGAGTTTGATTCAGGGACCTCCTGGAACGGGGTGAGTTAAAAGGACTTTCAGTGTCACCTGTGCATTTGTCTTTTCGTGTTTTAACCAATTCTTGAACCATGCGACAAAAAAGAAAAACCGTCACGAGTGCAACCCTTGTGTACCATCTTACCCGCCAGAACATGGGACAGGTGCTCGTAACGGCACCAAGTAATGTCGCTGTTGATCAGCTCACGGAGAAAATTGCTGCTACCGGACTTCGTGTCGTTCGTTTGGCATCCAAGACACGCGAGGCAACATCGAGCTCTGTGGACCATCTCTGTTTGCACGTCATGACGCCGTTGGCTGCTGGCGATGAATTCAACAAACTGCAACGCCTCAAAAATGAGATTGGTGAACTCAGCGAGCGTGATCAGAAGAAGTACAGGTCGCTTCGCAACAAGACGGAGCGTGAAATCTTGCAAGCCGCTGATATCATCTGCTGTACATGTGTCGGTGCTGGTGATCCACGTCTCAAGAACTTTCGATTCCGTCAGGTCCTCATTGACGAAGCAACCCAAGCCATTGAAGCAGAAGCCTTGATTCCAATTGCGATGGGTGCCAAACAGGTTGTATTTGTTGGTGATCACTGCCAGCTTGGTCCGGTTGTGATGTGCAAAGCCGCAGCAAAGGCTGGTTTGACTCAAAGTATGTTCGAGCGCCTTGTGTTGATTGGAAATCGTCCCATTCGTCTGCAAGTTCAGTATCGGATGCACCCTGCTTTGTCTGAGTTCCCCTCAAATATGTTCTACGAAGGAAGTCTCCAGAATGGTGTTACCGAAGCCGATCGCCAACTCTTGAATATGCCTGGCTACGCAGGAAAAGAGGACTTCCCTTGGCCAGTGCCCAACAAACCCATGTTTTTCTACTCGATTTCTGGCATGGAAGAGATCTCCGCGTCTGGTACCTCGTACTTGAATCGCACGGAAGCGTCGTACGTCGAAAAGGTTGTAACGCATCTGCTTCGAATGGGTGTCACACCAGGGCAGGTAAGTGCTGCAGAAAAAATGTTGTTTCGCTCTTGTCGTCGCGAATGGCTACTCTGAAAGTTCTATGGCACGCAATCAGGTTGGTGTTATCACCCCTTATGATGGCCAGAAAAAATATGTCTCCGAGTACATGAGACGGGCGGGTGCCTTGGCCAGCGCTCTCTACGAGGCTATCGAAGTTGCCTCAGTGGATGCTTTCCAAGGCCGTGAGAAAGATTTCATTCTTGTCTCATGCGTCCGTTCCAGCGAAACGCAGGGTATTGGGTTCTTGTCCGACCCCCGTCGTCTCAATGTCGCATTGACCCGTGCCCGACTTGGAATTATCTTGCTTGGAAATCCTCGCGTTTTGAGCAAGAATCCGCTCTGGGCTGCCCTCCTCCTGCATTTCAAGGAGTATGACTGTCTTGTGGAAGGCCCACTCAACAACCTACAACCCAGTTACATGACATTTGCTCGTCCACGCAGAAACGTCGCAAGCGATTCTCGATACGCCTTCACGGCCCTTGCCCGTGGTGGCTGGGATGGACGCTGGGACGATCGTCGTGATCCCCACAACGCTCCTGGTTTCCGCAACGGCGGCCGCCGAGGTCGTCGAGGAAAACATGAGCAGAGTGACTCGCGATTTGATCCCAGATACGACAATGGCAACTATGGTGGTGGTTATGACGAAAACAACAATGCAGCTACCAATAGGGGACTCCCCATTCCCAGCTTTGCACCTTTGCCGCATTATGCCGGTGCTGATGACTTGAGCAGTGTAGGCGGTGACAGTGCTTACGATGGTTCTCAGTACGGAGGCTCCAGAGCCAGTTTCTGGTCCCAGCGCGAGAAGGCGAACCAAGGGCCCCAAATGGGCTACTTTGTGGGCGGTCCTCTCGGAGCTGGGAATGACTCTCGCAGGTAAACGAGTATGAGACGACACAAGAACTATGAATGAATCGTTGGAGAGCGACCTGAAAGAAACTACGACTGAACAAGAAGTCGACAATTGACGAAGAGGTACTAGTAGACCGAACTCCGACAGCAGTCTTCAGCCCGCGAGCACCACTAAGGTCAACAAAGCTCCTTTGATACCTGCTGGAAGGAACTCCCCTGTCTCATACCGCTGAAATGAAAGTCTGCGGTGTGGGTGCAAGCTTTCCACTTGCTAGTTTCTGCCGCTTGCCCTGCCTGAAACAGCAGCCCGTCGCACTAAAGCTAGCCAGTATTAAGCTAGGCCCATTTGCCTTTACTACAGATCGGTGCAAATCGTCGAAGTGAGCAGTATCTTTCATACTAGTCTAGCTAGCTATGTTAGCTTGTCCGGCATTCTTGTCCTGATTCGATTCGATTCCGTTGAACTGAAGCCATGGGTGGCATACGGGAGGTACCGCACGTGGCTATTGGCGGCATCTTGCCCTGTGAAGTTGTGAACTTGCTGGCTGATTTTGATCCCTCTCACCAATATTGGCATTATGACCTTACTGGCTCTTAAGTCTTCCGACGGATTACTGCGAGAGTGACCAAGATTGCAGACAGAGACTGTCGAGCGATCTGCTCTGGGCAAGACAGTCCTTCGCTCAGAGCAGATCGAGACTCACAGTGTATCATCGAGATCGATTACTTGTAACAGAATCATACAATAATACGAATAGGCTACACTGAGAATGGTATTGCGAAAGAAACCAAAGGGATCGGCCCGTGTGTGAGTGGCGCAATGATTGGTGTATCCTGTACAGTAAAGCTTTCCAGCCAGAGTCTTTTTTCTCACATGTTTTAATTGTTCTATGGTTCTTCTCTCGCTGCCAGGCCAAAATGGTGGATGCAGGTGACCCCGCACATTGTTCGAGACGATCATGGCATCTATCCTAAGCTCAGGTCGACTGGTGCAGGAGATCGTATCCGTAAGGGCAACTACCAAAAGAAAAAGGATGAACCCGAGATTCCAAAAGGCTCAATCAGAAGATTGGCAGACGACGCCAGTGTACCTGATGTGCTCGGTCCCAGTGGACACAGCGCACACAGCAACCGAAGCGTGGACAGCTCCAAGGCCACTCCGGAACAAGGTTCTGATCAAGCAACTACCGCAGGCTCTTCCTCTGCATCTGTCGGCGCTCCCGCCCCAGCCGTCCTTGGGGCTCCTGTTCTTGGGGCGCCAGCACCAGCACCAGCGTGAGTTCGTTTTATTTATTAGATATGATTTTCATGGAAAGCAACAAAATCTGCCCGATTCTTCGCCCCGAACTTGGCAATCAACATGGATTGGCTGTTTCTCACCCTGGATTGATTTTGGTTCTCCCTTTTCATTTTCTCCCATTCAAAGTCCCGTACCAGAATCTGCCCCGGCCCCGGCTCCACCTGCCCTCGGGGCTCCTGTCTTGGGTGCTCCTGTTCTCGGAGGCCCGGCACCAGCGTGAGTTCTTATTGTTTGTTGGGTAGATGACTGCAATGTGGGAAATATGCAGACGTCTCTCGCCCAAGAATGGAGGGGCTAGACCTGTATGAAGCGGATAGTTTTGGGCTGTGCTGCTGTGTTGTGGGTTGTGAAACCGGACCGTGTGGGAATAGCTCATGTCTTTGTCGGTTTCTGTACTTGGCCGCCTTCAACCAAAACTGGATGGACTCTTCTCACTCTTGGTTTCTTACTCTTGCACTCATGTTTCATTTATATATAGTCCTGCCACAACTCCAGCTGCCCTCGGGGCTCCCGTTTTGGGTGCACCGGCTCCCGCTGCAGCTGCCCCAGCTCCTGCCGACCTTGGAGCTCCTGCCGTCCTTGGAGCTCCAGTTTTGGGAGGCCCGGCCCCAGCTTCTTCGGCATCTGTTGGCGCGCCCGTCTCAGCACCTGCTCCTGCCAATGTCGCTTCTTCAGCATCGGTCGGTGCTCCCGTCCTTGGGGCGCCTGTCCTTGGGGCACCCGTCCTAGGTGCTCCCGCCCCAGCCCCGGCTACACAGGCGGAAATGCTGAATTCACCAAGTATGGGTACGAGTGGCGAGATGACTGTAGAAGAAGAGATCGTGGAAGAAGTATATGATGAGGAAGTGGTCGAGGAAGAATATCTTGAAGACGAATATGGATCATATGTCGAAGAGGAAATTGTCTCTGTTATGGAGTGATGCTGCGGCTCACCCATGAAGTTTCGTTGCGTCACTTAGTTAGTATGACTTACCACGCCTCTCATCTTTTATCGCTGGGTCGTTTGGTCTGCCCCTGAACTGAACCTATCATCTATGTAAATGTATTACTATGTTGCCAAATCTTAGTATCCGCCCAAGAGACCAGAAGGAGGAAATATCCACTATCCCATCATTTTCTGGACGATGGTTACAACACTTCGAATGCTATCTAGTAGCTTTCTCTAGCTAGTAGCTAGCCAGAGAGAGATACCTTCGCTACTCGACCACTAGCTATCCCCCCAACAGCTACGGTGTAGACCCAGCCCCCAATGGTTAGCCTGCCAAACACACCCAACGAGCTATTTTCTAAGACGCCGACCTTGACTTGCACACGAGATGGTGTCTTTTGGCAGTCTTGTCCAGATCGCGTGGCTAAGCAAGAATAGTCATGTGCAAGCCTGCCCTCTTGTCCAAGAAGATCACGTCTTGACAAGAGGCCATGCAGCTGCGTAGGGATCGCGGAACTCATTTGAATCTTTGCCGCGAACCCCCAATTTCGACGAAATCTTTCGCTGTTCCCTTTTGACGGCGCCATCACAGTGAGGATTTCGGGATACCAGTAGCTTGCTTCTATCACAAGCCAAGCTTAAAAGCTATTCAGCATTATCTCTCTTACTTACTAGTCCCTAGCTAGTGATAGCTACCCGCCTGGTAGTTAACTTACTTGGTTAGGAAATTAGCTTATTCAGCCATCGGTAGCAAATAAATATGTGGGAGACAAAACTCAAAGCAACTGGAAATCGCGATGCCGTCTTGGAAGGCAAAGACATCAAGCATGATGAAGTTGATGGCAGCAAGGCCGACGAGGCCAAAGGTGACACTTGGTCTGTTAAACTTAAATCTACTGGTAACAAAGATGCCGTTGCAGCTGGCAAAGATGTGAAGCCATCTGATGATAAGGAAAATGGCAAAGAATCGTCACCGTCCAAGCGCACCTCATGGATCGCCCCTGATAAGCTCAAGTCAACAGGCAACAAAGACGCCATTGCGGCAGGAAAGGACGTGAAACCGAAAGCAGAAGAATCTGCTGCTCCCACCGGTCGTCGAACATCTTGGATAGCACCCAGTGAGCTCAAGTCGACTGGCAACAAGGAGGCCGTACTCGCTGGAAAGGACGTCAAAGTCGCCTCGGAAGCTCCAGCCGAAACCAAAGCTGCTTGGTCTCCCGGGAAACTCAAGTCGACTGGAAATAAGGATGCAGTCCTGGCTGGAAAAGATGTGAAACCGGAGGCTTCCAATGCGACAGGGAAGAAGACATCTTGGGCTGCTCCCGACCAGTTGAAGTCGACTGGGCACAAGGAAGAGGTTTTGGCAGGAAAGAATGTCAAGGCTTCCGCGGAATCTCCAAAAGAGACCAAGACCGAGTGGGCTGCTCCAAGCCAGCTAAAATCAACAGGGCACAAGGATGCTGTGTTGACTGGAAAGGATATTAAGGCCACTAGTGAGCATGCAGAGACCAAGACGGAATGGGTCGCACCTAGCCAACTGAAATCAACTGGAAACAAGGATGCTGTGTTGACTGGAAAGAATATTAAGGCCACTAGCGAGCATGCAGAGCCCAAGACGGAATGGGTGGATCCAAGCAAGTTGAAATCAACTGGAAACAAGGATGCTGTGTTGAGTGGAAAGAATATTAAAGCGACAAGTGAACATTCCCCAACAAAGACAGAGTGGGTTGCTCCTGACCAACTCAAGTCAACTGGAAACAAGGATGATGTTTTGGCTGGAAAGAAGCTGAAACCCTCCTTTGAGTATACTGCAAATGCTTCGACAACGGAGTGGGTGGCTCCAGACCAGCTCAAGTCAACCGGAAACAAGGACGCAGTCTTGACTGGCAAAGATATCAAGACTGCAAGTGACACTGCTGCAGCTGAACCCAAGACCGAGTGGGTAGCTCCGGACCAGCTCAAGGCAACAGGGCACAAAGAGGAAGTGTTGGCTGGAAAGAAGCTCAAACCCTCTTTTGAATATGCTGCCAATGCATCTACAACCGAGTGGGTCTCTCCGGACGAGCTCAAGTCAACTGGAAACAAGGATGCTGTTTTGGCTGGAGCGGAGATCAAGACAAGTGCTTCAGAGGAGGCAGCGAAACCGCGACGGGCATCTTTCCATCCAAACCAACTCAAATCCACTGGCAACAAAGATGCTGTCTTGGAAGGCAAAGATGTGAAGACCGAGGCTGCCACCAACATCAAGCCAAGACGTCAAACTTGGATTTCCCCAAGTGAACTAAAGTCTACTGGCAACAAGGATGCAGTGCTGGCTGGCAAGGACGTCAAGGCTGAAGATGAGACACCAAAGGAATCGAAGGTTGCTTTTGCTCCAGAGAAGTTGAAGTCGACTGGAAACAAAGATGCGGTACTAGCTGGAAAAGATGTGAAACCTGGCGAGAAACCCAAATTTGAGACTCGAACTTCCTGGAAGGCAACATCAGAACTGAAAGCTACCGGAAACAAAGATGCTGTGCTGGCTGGACAAAATGTCAAGCCAGAACAAGAGACACAGGCAGCACCAAAGGTTGCATTTGCTCCAGACAAGTTGAAGTCTACAGGAAACAAAGATGCAGTGCTGGCTGGAAAGGATGTGAAGACAGGAGAAAAACCCAACTTTGAAAGAAGAGCATCCTGGAAGTCAGCAGCTACAGAGCTAAAACCCACCGGCAACAAGGATGCTGTCATTGCTGGAAAGAATGTGAAAACAGAGAATGAGGCTACTGCTGAATCCAAGGTCGCATGGGCTCCTGACAAGCTGAAATCCACAGGCAACAAAGATGCTGTTCTGGAGGGCAAAGATATTCATTCGGAAAGTGGATCCAAAATCAAGGCTAGACGACAAACAGCATGGATGGCGCCAGGCGAGCTGAAGGCCACCGGCAACAAGGATGCAGTCTTAGCGGGTAAGGATGTGAAGCACGAAGAAGAGACATCAGCAGAACCACCAAAGGCTGCATTCGCCCCAGACAAGTTGAAGTCTACAGGAAACAAAGATGCGGTGCTGGCTGGAAAGGATGTAAAGACAGGAGAAAAACCCAACTTTGAAAGACGAGCATCCTGGAAGTCAGCAGCTACAGAGCTAAAACCCACTGGCAACAAGGATGCTGTGCTTACTGGAAAAGATGTCAAACCAGGACAGGATACTGGTGTACCTAAAGAAAAAGCACCAAAGGTTGCGTTTGCTGCTAATAATTTGAAGTCCACAGGCAACAAGGATGCCATAATCTCAGGTAAGGATGTGAAGCCTAAATCCGACAGTGGTGAGGCTGCGAAGGCCCGGCGTGCCTCGTTCCACCCGAATCAACTGAAGTCTACCGGCAACAAGGATGCAGTTCTCGCTGGTTTAGATGTCAAGACAACAAGTGGTGCTGAGAAGGCCAAGGCCAGGCGACAAACCTGGAATCCCAGTGGACTGAAGGCCACGGGGCTTCGTGATGCTGTCCTTAGCGGCCTCGATATCAAACAAGAGCCCGGAGCCGAAACAAGCGAGAAAAGTTGAAGTCAACAGCCTCCGATTTGCAGGAAAGATCCTGGTTTGCACCAGCAAAAGAGGTTGCGAGTCATGGTCTCGTTGGATTGAAAGACTTCAAGCCAAAAGTAGTTATGGTATGGCCAAGGCAAACTAAAGATTCTGATTTTGGTTAGCAGAGTAATTTGTATTTCGTAACATTAAATTCGCATGTCTCGTGGCAGAGAACAAAAGCTGCCTTCCGGCAACCTGGAGCCATCATATTATCTCGGCAAGCATTTCTGCCGCGTTTTCAAACATTGTGTGTATTGTTAACCGCCAGTGTCAGGCCTATGAAGATGCGCAATTCCAGCTGGCCAGAACTAGTTCTCACAGCTGCCAGCACGACACAATCTTCTACCTTCTATTCTGCTTTGCCAGCTCAGGAGCTGCTGTAATCGGTGCCTCCAAATTGCCCTCTTCCATCAGTTTTTCTCCCTGAGACGAACAGAACATCAGTTTCCAAACTAGTACTAGTAGCCATCGCAACGATTCACAGCAATTGCCACACTTACCTGGTCAGTCATTCGCAGAAAAGCAGGGTTGGCCTCCATGTTCACGTTCATGGTTTTCTTATCCAAAACAACGATTGGCGCCGACAAATATTCCCCTGACTTGACTTTCTCTCCCTGATCCGTATTCTTGAGCTTCGCTTTCGTCCAGGATGGCTTTTCAAATGTGTATTTCTTTTCATCCACAGCTTCAGTGATTTTCGGCGCAATATCTTCCCCCTCTTTCAATTGCTCGCCCGTTTCTGTGTGCTTCAAGAGGTGGTCTTTCTTCGTTTTCGCCCACGACGGCTTCTCGAACTGATACTTCTTGAGCTGAGTTGCTTGAGTGATGTTGTCGTCCGACAGAACCTTCCCTTTCCTTGCAGTCAGTCCTCTTGGTGTCAGTTTCAGCTCCTCTGGGTCAGCTCCCCAGATCTTGACTTCTTCCTTGTCCTTATTGACCTTGGGGTTGATCTGTTTTTCTATCTGTCTACCATCCCGGATTCTAGCTCCGTTGCCCGTGAAATTCAAGCCAGCTTGGTGTTTCTTTACCTTTGGAAGAGCAACCATTTTCATGGCGCCCTTCATCAGGGCACCCTTACTCGGGGCATCGTCCTCGTCCTCTTCCAGCCCTTCGTTGATCTTCTTTGGAATATTGGTGATTGGTGCACTGATATACTTTCCGGCCTTGATCTTGTTTCCTGAAACGCACAAACAAATAAGATTTGCGATTGGTTAGATTGGCCTCGATGCCTAAACAAGTTCGATCCATTGGTTTACCCTTGGTAGTGGTTCTTAGTTTCGCCTGGGTCCAGTTTGGCTTCTCCCATTGCAGCCTCTTCTTGTGTTCTTCCTCCGGCGTCAGCTCTGGCTCCTGTTCTTCTTCTTCCTCGTCGTCAGACGGCATAAAGTCCTCTAACTTCAAGTCGTCGTCTCCAAAGTCGTCCGCTGCAGCAGACTGCACTTGTTTCGAAGGCTTTGCCTTTCCCATTACCATACCGCCTTTGCCCTTTTCCACCTTTTGGGCCAGCATTTCGGCCATGCTGAGTTGTTTGTGTTCTTTTTGTGGTTCCTCTGCTTTTGGCGCCTCTGGTTTCGCCGCGGGAGTCGCAGTCTTCTTTGTGGCATTCGAATCCCTGGTTTTGGCCCGTGCCACGAGTTTTTTCTGCTTCTTGGCTTTGGATGCGATAATTTCGCTGAGATCCTTTTGCTTCTTTTTCCCCTTTTTGCCCCAGTTCTTTTCTCGTTCGGCGAGTACCTTGGCTCTGGCTGCAGCCTTTCGTTTAAAGTCAGTTTCGACCTTCATTTGTTTGCAAGCCTGCAATCGTGAATTGTGCGCCATTCGCTCGGCCTTTTCTTTGGATGTTTCTTCCACACCTCCTTCGGCCATTCTCTTGCCCTTGACCTCTTTGGCCTCTGCAATTTGTCGTTCAATTTCGGCAATTTCAGCCTCGAGCTGTTGTCGAGCCTTTGCCTCCTCTTCCGTCTCTTCGATAATCTCTTCGATGATGTACTCTTCATCGTCGTAGTATTCTTCTTCTGAACAATTCTGCATCGCAATGATGATGATGAAGTCGAGAAGTCGAAGAAACGGTGTGAATTGTCAGATGGAATATGGCCAAATAGTGAGTGGAATGAGGAACTGTGCAGCACTCAAAGATACGGAATCCAAGGACACGGAAACTCACCATGCAAGCAAGCAAGCAAGAAAGATTCGATTTGATTCAGTACAAATAATGAAGCCCAATATAGAGAGGTGTGAAATGCAAAGCGGTGAGTTCTGCTCTAGATACTTGGCATCCTTCGGTGGTATTTGCTCTTTGGATGATCAGGGCTCTTTGGATGGATCTAGACGTACCAATGTACTCTTCTTCGTACTCTTCTTCGTATTCTTCATACTCTTCTTCAATGATCTCTTCTTCAATGATCTCTTCCTCCTCTATGCCATCTGGCAGGTCCAGCGCCTGGTTGATGATGGATTGATGCTTGAGCATGGAGAGTCTACTGGATGCTTGTGGTTTCATGGCACGCTTGGTGGGTGACATTGGCTCTTGGCTCTGCTGTTGACTTGCGTATTGTTGTTGAGCATACTGAGGCGACGCTGCTGCGAGCTCTTTCTGCGTTTCTTGCGCTGTCAGTTGAGCCTTTTCTTTGGGTGTCAAAAAGAGAGGAGGAGGAGCTCCAATTCCAACTTCATACGCCGCAACAGCCGAGAAATTCTGCTTGGGAACCGTCACGACCTGTTCCACAATCTCCACAACCTCCTCATAGTCGTCTTCGTCCCCATCCCAGTCGTCATCGTCTACATACTCGACGACCTCAATCACTTGCTGTTGGGGAGGATAGGGCATCTTGATGCTGTCTCTGGATGTACTGGGAAGGTCGCGGGGAATCTTTGACAGCGTCTCGAACTCGATTTGGCTCTCTTTCAAAAAGACAAGAAGCTCAGAGCATTTTTGGATCATTCACGCTTGAGCGTGTCTCAATGTCTACAGAACCCCCCAACTTTGGCCAAGTATTTTTTCCGGGTCTTGGGAGATAGCAGCTACTGGTAAATGTACCGCAAATAAGTTCCCAGAGTATGGCAAGGAGAAGAATACATCGTATTACCAGCCAGCTAGCTAGCTAGTAGCGATGCTCTTGCACTAGCTACTGGTGATGGTAGCACGCAGAGCCAGCAGAAATGGGCCACCTACTAATTCGGTATCGTACGGAACAACGGCACGCAGGTTGCTTTAGCAAGTTGCTAGCAGATCATTCGGAACCAGCCGCCTAATCCTACCCGAAGCATAGTGTAAGGCAGAGAGGGCAACACGAAGCCTCTCTATCAAATGCAGCAAAAATTGAGAGTGCTAAAGTGCTGTGTTTGACAGAGGCAAGCCTCCCTGCCAGTTCTGGTTGCCTCATCACTCGGAAGAAACGAAACCGGACAGGGCTAGAGCCCAGCTTTCCCTGGGACTGGCAAGTTCGGAAGCCCCAAGCGAACGGCGGCGGAACCCAGTGCAAATGGTCGAGGCTAGAATGTTCAAAAGAAGGTAACATCCATTATTTTCAAGGACCCATATACATTATCTCAGAAAGCATGAACCCCGTGGTTGTCTCCAGTCAACAAGATGCAGCCAGCATGCAGCAATGCAGCCGAACAACGGGCCTTGATGATGTGCCCTGGCTAACACCGAGACCATAAGACGGCATCATCCAGCCAATCTATTGTATTGGCTTCGAGGCAGAACTGCCGGATCTATCGGTACCTAATGAAAAGGGATTTGAGCGGGCTAAAAGGGGCGTGCATCCCAGTAGCGTCGGGTGAAGATCCGCACACATTCATGTCCAAAAGCCGTGCTGGTTGGGTAACAGTGTCCGAGCAGCTTTTTTGTTGGCTGGGGCCTTCATGCATGCTTTGTTTTGCGGTGTCTGTTGCAAGATTGCTCTCTGCTTGCCTCTAAATCCGATGGTTCTCCTTCATCGATGGAAACCCAAGACCCCCTTGGTCGCGGATACTCCCGCGAACAGCTCGAGGACTTCAAGAAGAAGCAAGAAGTCATCCTTGCTTATTCTTCCCCGACGTCGTTGGGAAAGGTGCGCTGAAGAACGCACAAAATTAAGGCAATAGCAAAAGAAGCCGTGCCAGCAACAGTCCAAACAACTACCACCAAGAATCTTGGGCATCACCGTGAAGGAAAAGATTGCACTTGATTGAGTTCAAGATGTCGATGTTTGCCTGGAAGAAGTTGTCTTCCTGTGAAGTCATCACACAGGAGCTCAAGTCCCGCGCCGCTGAAGCAACCTTGGGATTCTTTTCTGAAAGCTTCTCGAATTCTTTCCAACTGAACAGTAGCGTGCTAAAGCTCCTCGATAATGGCACCGACGAAACCGTCATTAGTGACGACGAAGATACCATACTGGGCGAGCTTGATTTCTTGGAGGACGACAGGGAAGAACAACTGGGTACCCAGTACCACGCCCAGTACCACGAGGATTCCGTCGTAGAGGAAAGAACTCAAGGGCCTTCCGTGGTCGACGAATTCGAGGAAGAAGTCATCGAAGACGAAGTAGATACCCTGGTATCGGATGCAGATGAATCCCCACAAGAAGCAGCTCCCATTGCCATGGTTGCAGTTGAAGACGATCCGGCTCAGGTTAATGACTCTTCGTTGGATGCAGTCGAGGAGGAAGTTGTGGAAACCGACAATGAGCAAAAGGTCAGCGAAGGCCTCCAATCTGATACAGCCCCCGATGTTGGTGTGGCTCAAAACAAGCCCAACAACGAAGCTTCTAATGAGTCTTCTGAAGAGCCACCCAATGCAGATGCTGCTGAGGATCAAGAAGTCAACAATGGCCTCGAATCTGATGCAGCCCCTGAGTTTGGTGTGGCTCAAAATGAGCCGAACAACAACGAAGCCTCTAATGAGTCTTCTGAAGAGCCACCAAATGCGGATGCTGCTGAGGATCAAGAAGTCAACAATGGCCTCGAATCTACAGCTCCTGATGTTGGTTCGGCTCAAAACGAGCCCAACAACAACGAAGCCTCTAATGAGTCTTCT